TCTATCTATCTATCTATCTATCTATCTATCTATCTATCTATCTATCTATCTATCTATCTATCTATCTATCTATCTATCTATCTATCTATCTATGAATAATTTGGTAATGGGTGCCATATAAAAAATAAATATGTCAAACTAAGCCATTTACATTTTTAGCCAAGAGAGAGGTAAAAAAAAGAAAAGGAGAAAAGTACATTTGTTGAGTGAGAGATCACACATCATGGCACAGTCAAAGCTTTGCCAGGAACAAGATGGCGTGAGATGTATGTAACAGGAGGAAAATTCCCGCAATGGGAGAGACATGCTAGTGAATTTTGATTGTTTTAATCTGCACTGCCATCACGAAGCCATCTGGGACACTGCAGGAGATTACACACAGGCTGATACTCATCTGGCCCTCCCCCTTCTCCTCGTGTTCAGAAACCCTCTATTGATTCATCCTGGAGGTGGAAGAAAAATGCATTATGTATATGTATGTGTGTGTGTGTGTCTGTGTTTTTGCATTTGTGTGTAGGATTTTAATGTAAGAATGTATTCACATTTTAATACTAATGTGCATTAGATATAACAGGTATAACAGTAGGAGATTACAGAGTTTACTGTGGGATTTGAACATATATTTCAGTGGTGTGTTTTCCTTCGCTACCAGGGACAATCTGGGTGCCTTGGTCCTGGACATGCTGTTTCACTGGGCTCGGGCGCAGAAGAACGAAGCACCCGGGGCAGTATCTCGGCTGGTGGCTGCTATGATCGAGAGCGGCAGGAGAGACCTGGCCGAAGAGATCGAGGACATTGTCAACATAGGAAAGAGAAAGTACACAGAGTCTTTGAGGAGAGTAGGTCTGGAAGCAGAGAGCTCCTCTATGGGTGAAAAACAGCAGTAGATGAGCCCATGCTGGACACAGATGGCTGACTTACACTTGAGTGACCTGCTTGTTTACCGTGGGCCTCCACTATCTTGTTCTGCTGTCATCAACTGCAGAAGTGCACAATCATGATAACCGGCTATGTGCTGGTGGCACCTTTCATAAGCTCAACAGAGGAACAGGTGAAATGGATTTACTGTGCAATGGCCTATACCTTGTTTTTAACAAACTGACCCCCCAAGTATCTAAGCATCTAAAGCAGGGATGTTTAACTCATTGTACATGATGGACATGTACAATCGACTTTGATCTTCATTTAAGTCATTTAATTATTTAATTTATTTTATTTAATGAATCTATTACCTTGGTGTAAAATGAAGGAACATGTGTTAGGAATAGTAGGAAGAGATGCTCAAAACGTAATAAAATGCAGTTAAAAGTCATAATTTTATGACCTCCTTAACATTTTCCAAAGCTGTCCAGCGGGTTGGATTGGAGTCTTTGCTGGGTAGATTTTGCCCCCTAGGCCTTATGTTTGACAGTCCTGAACAAAATCATCTTAAACATTTGACTCCATATCTCAAATCTTTAACTTTTTATATATTTGTTTTCTTTAGCACTTTATAAATGTGTCTCATTCATTAAAAAAAAAAACCCATCTCATTATTTCAAACCATAATTTCACTATAATTTTGAAAGAGCATTTCATGTTTTTGATTCAGAATCAAATTATAATAACAAACTATAATTATTTTTTAAATATAACAATGACTGGATCTATTAATGTTGTTTTTTTTAATTTCTGGTACCTGTTCAGACAGCAAACAGCTCTGAGACCTGTGAGAGCATGTTACAGGACTGCACTAAAACTGCAAACATAAGCCATTTTTACAGCTGATTACATTTCCTCCTTGTGTGCCTTTGGTCACTGAGTAATCAGTTTAGCTGCAGCACAATCTCAGTATGATATGAGGACGTCAGATCTTTGTAATGTATGAATGTACACTTTTTTAATATGTCTTATAAGTAAAACTGGGATATAATTTTTTGTACTTGTCAGCTGTTTTTCTTTCTTTGGTCGTGACTCACTCCTTTATTGCTGCACGCTCAGCCCCAATATTTCAGCTCCTGCCATTTTTTTTTCTATTTCGGTATTCAAGGTCACTGTGATGTGATGAAGCGTCACCATGACGCCGACTCCCATCCCCCATTGCTACAACTTTACCTCCTGCACTTCCACTACACGCCACTAGAGGCCCCCATTTTTAAAAAATCCTCTTTTCTGTTTTTTTCCTATTTCACTCCATCGCTTTCCCTCCCTCCCTCCCTCCCTCCCTGCCTTCACTCCCACCTCCTCTACCTCCCTCCACCGGACTGAACCGCTAGTAACGCCGGTAGGTAAGCCACTGTGGAAGCTGAAGATACAGAGAGTAAAGGCTTTGATTTCATACCGCAGCACCACCGAGGAGACAGCGGAAGCGGCTCTGTGTGTCTGGTACGTACATAACGGGATGCAGGCAAAGCCTTGCGCTTCTCACCGTCTGGTATCTGACTCACAAAATGTGCCTGTTTGCCTAGAGCCGTTGAAATCTCACCTGGGAATAGGGTAAAAGGCGGCACGTTGAGCTTTAATGTGTAAAACGACACAGGAGAGATGGGGTATTAGCTTGCTTGAATGGTAGTTTGTCGCGTATTCATGGTCAGCAAATAATTTTCCGTTATGTGGTAAACCGAGGATTTTGGGGTTTTTTTTTGTTATCCTGTGCTGGTTTTAAAGATGTTTAGTTCATAGCCGAGCCTATTACAGACTAACGTTAACGTGTCTGGCCCACCGTTATGAAACAGCGGAATAACCGTTACACCGGTGGTCGGTAATATGCCTTCTCATATGTGGCCCACAAACCGCGCACACAGGTGCAACCGGGGTACGTGCAGTGCTGCAGACAAATGATGGGGTTTGTTTAAATTTTAATGCCTTCAGCGCAAATATTAGCTTCTTTGATATTTGGTTATTACGGTTAGAAACGGGTCAGAGTCCGTCTTCTGCCGGCTTCTCCTCCATAGTGACGGTGTTATCATGTGGGCTGGGATGGAGTAGTGAACCCATTTAAACCCACCTACCCTTTTTTTAACTGGCAGAGAAAAGTAAAAGCTGCTCCTCTTTGACTCTGACAAGGCACACGTTGCATCTGGTTAAACGCTAACTTAGGACCACTTCTAGAAAGATCCAGCATTTTTAAGAATTTGCAAAATTAGGTAATGGCATTATTGCTGAAAAGGATACATAACGGAGGCCATTCCCATGGTACCCACTCACTTTACTGTGACTCCTCGCTCTTCCATCTGGAGCCCCAAACTCCCTTCAGTGCACACATAAGGTAACATTTAGCTGCTGAGTGTGCTGACATGTACATGAAAAACCAGCACGTTTTTCAGATGAACAGCATTTATAGTGGAGAAGTAGTCCAAATAAAGCATCTGTACTGCTTGAAATAATTCATGAGGTGAGCCACTCTTGAGTATAGGGTGTCATCCTGTGCTTTCCTCTGGATCTATCACACCTGTGTGACTGTGATACTCATGACTTGGCATTTCATTCATTCAGAAAACAGCCTTCCCTGAAAGTACGCTAAAATGTCTAGGCAAGGACCGATAAATATCACTAATGTATGTGCACCGAATGGAGAATGAAGTGTAGTGGTACTGATGGTGGGGGACAGTACTGTAAATTGTAAGCAGATACTTTAAAGCTGAATCTGAACCAACAATAGTATGATTATTCCTTTATCGAGGCTGTAGGAAAGGTGAGATGTAACTGAACTGAAGAGACGGGAGAGAAAAGCCCCGTGTGACTGGAAACTGGGCCACGAGGGAGACGGTTGGTGCCAGAGGAGGGACTAAACAACACCATTCGTTTGCACAGAAGCGGGTATTTTTTGCAGCCTGAAACCTGTGGACTCTGGTTCCCATCTCCAGCAGGTGTTTCCAACAATGCATGCTCTGTGTGTCTGTTTTAATGGCCGCAAAGAGCACTGCCACTGGCAGAGATGCTTTGTGCCAAGATCACAACTCCTACCCCTCCTTTTTGTAAATGGAGATTGCGAGAGAGCTTTCATAAGTAGGCATTAGATTTATAATCCCGATGCAGTAGGGAAGAGCGAGTAGCAATCAGATTTATCTGTGACACCACAAATTTCATCCCTTGTTTCTGCACTGTGGTCCAAAAATAGCCAAAATACAAGCAGCTGATGCTTCATGGTGAAAACAGTAGATGTTGCTTTTAGTGTAGTAAGGAAATTTAAACTCAGTCATCAAATATGCTCTAATATCTATATAGAAGTCAGCCGAATAATAATATGTTGAAGCAGCTTTGCAGTAAACTTAACTGAATTCATAAATTAAAAATGAGGAATATCTTGTCCCTGGAAGAAACTGGACAGATTGAGTTTATATTAGGCGTGACCTCTGTGCTCTTGCAGCTCAGAAAAGTACTCGACATCTGATAGAGAATTGCAGAAATCCCCTTGTCCCCTTCCTCTCTCCTTGGATGCCTCAGAGTGTGCATCTGATTCATCAGATCATTTCTTGTGAGACAGATGGATCGGTAACAACAGCCTGCGCTGAGCTAATGACGATGGCCTGTTTGACTTTCGTGTGTTTCTGTCTTTTCATCCAACCATAGTCACGTTAGCTGAGGACTTACTACCACTGCACTTTGTCATTGTTGCTGCTTACTTCCTTTTATGCTTCCCCAAACTCATTGCTGCTCAGTCAGCAAGACCTCTATCCTGCTGCCACTTGGGAGAGGAGAAGTAGCCCAGGCTCTGTGGCAGATGAGGGAATTATACTTGTAGCTGATTTAAATGATAGGAATATCATTTGCATTCTACTTATCTGACATTACTAATGTCACTTGCATAATGATCCAATGTCTTTTCTGTGCTTGCTGCATTATTATTTGAAATATTTGTATTAGATTTAAAAAAAAGGCTTCAGTATGGCACACCTTTGTTAGGATTACGTGGATGGAAGCACTAAATTTCACACATATTTCTTAGGTAGGTTGTTCCCATGTTCTTGTTTCTCTATGGCAGCATTTTTTGTCCCGTTCCTGAAATGAGAATAGGGGTCAGAAACTCAACTGTTATCTGTCTCAGTCTGAGCCTTGACTCTCTTCGAGGCTGTTAATCAGAAACGTTTAGCAGGTGGTTTTATGGGGCTGGCTTAAGTTGTTCAGCTCAAGGTTCTGCTTGAGTTGCATAATCATGTATTGTTTACTTATGAGTGCTTATCAGTTTCAGTAGTCCAAACTCAAAATATGACCTCAGTGTGAACACTCTCTGTGTGAGTGTGTGTGTGTGTGTGTCTGCGTCAGAGAGATGCTTCGAGTCTTTTACTTGGGTGATTTGATTAAGTTTTCACTTTTGTCTAATTTTTTGCTTTTAAGTTGTTTTCCAGAAGTAATTCACCTCCTTGATCGATAAATCAACATCGTGCCTGCCTGTAAAAGATTTTGTTGGCCACCAAAGAGGAAACCCTGGATTGTAAATGTCTTTTGTTTTTTTAAGTGGGGTTTCATTTACTCAAGCTTAAAATGTAGTTTTGTTTTTCAAATGGCAAATGTTGGAAAATGTTGCTGTGAAGTAAGGTAACACAGACGCTTAGCTTGAACTGTATGTGGATTAAAAGTACTTGTGTGCACAGTGAGCATGAAAAATCCCTGGTTATGTGAACTACAAATGAAGCACCGCTTTGTTATTTTCCTCTTATGCTGTGCAAAGAACTTAGCGGATGAGCAGTGTCTCTTGCTGTGGACACTGCACACTGGTCCTAGTTGTTTCCACACAGACTCCAATTGTCATGACAAGACAGCGCAGCCACGCTATGGCTAGGGGTCAGATAGATCCTGGAGCAGACATAGCTGTGGCGTGTGGCTGAAGTGAAGTCGACAAAAAAAGCTGCAGGCAGTGTAAAGAAGGAGGAAGATGTCAGTTTTGTGGCTTTCATTTAATATTCAGTCCTGTTACTAACCAAATGTATAGCCACTTTTAAATTCAGCTTATATCCCCACTGCTGGCCGTGGCCTTAATATGCCTATGTTCGCGAGGAAGTCAGCAAGAGCAAAACAAAAGGAGCATGCAGCACAGTGGAAATGTGGGCGCAGTGTCGCTGCTCGGCGAGAAAACAGTTAAAGGAAGATGAGCGATGGAGGTGGGTTGTGAAGTTGCCTGTGTTTGGCTCCAAGGAGCAGTGAGGAGAACACCCAGGCAACAGACACCAAAGACAGCTCGCTGACCTGCTCTAAACCAATCCCCCCCTTTCTTCCCTCTTCCACCTCTGGAGCAGCTAGCAGGGGCCTCAAGTCCACATCCAAACTAAACACACCAGACTGCAGCTGCATTCATGTCCTCTGTAAACCGAAACATCACCTCGTGCTGCGAAATGTCTCTGAAAGCGGATCCGAGGAATTAGTGATATTGGTGTTGTGCAACTGTAAGCATTTGTACTTCACTAAGAAGCCCACAAGTCAGCAAAGATCTGAGACGGAAAAGCTGCGTTTGAGAGTCGTGACTCGTGACTGAGGGAAGTGATGGGGGAGGGTTGGTGAGAGGGAGAGGGAGAGAGCAGGAGAGGGAGAGAAGGCAGCAGAGTGCACATGTAGAAGCAGGTTGTGATTGGTGGATGAAGGGGGAGGAGAGAATGAAAGGGGAAATGGAAAGCATCCTTTTAAACCGAAGGCATTCTGTACCAAAAATAGGGCGCATCTTATCCACTGCAGACATATTTTATCTAGGTTTTTTTTTTTTCATAATTACTGTTTTAGCCTGCAGAGGGTTGAGCTTCCTCTATAGCACCTCAGGTTGACAATGAAAGCATGAAAAGCATGAAAAGGCATGAAAACATCAGCATTCAAGGACACACATGCTGCACAGATGTTTAGCAGTTAGTAATCAGTCTGCATTAATGGCTAAAGCTCTCTCAAATCTACATTTACATTTATGGGATTAGTCTTGCTTTTTCATAACATGTTGATAATTTTAAGTATTAATGGCACACATTGATTTATTGTCTTTCATCATGTAAAACTAAACACATTTAAGTTTGTCAACAGGACCTTCTTATGGCAATATAGCTATCAAAGTTGAGGAGACATTTTATCAAACCTCCACTTTTACCAAAGACCTACATTGCTGTGCTAAAGTCTCGAGCCACCCCTCAGGAAATTGGAAATAGATGCAATGATTTGTGCAGCACAAATGGAAATACAGTATATTAGGCAAAAACAATTCTAATGAGCCCGAAGGACAATATTTGAGACAAGCAAATCTATTCTTTAATGTAACCTGAACTCAGTCAAGCTTTCTCGTAATGTATTTAAGTAGACTTCAGGAATAGTTCTCCAGGCTTCCTGAAGGACATTCAGAGCTCTTCTTTGGATGTTGGCTGCTTTTGTTACAATCTCAGTTAAAATAATCCCACACTGCTACGATAATGTTGAAGTCCAGACTCTGGGGAGGCCAGTTAATGACTGATAGTGGTTCATTGTGTGTTTTCGACCCAGCTGTGCTTTTACTCCATTGTGATGCTAATTGTGTTCGATCAAAATCTGTCAGTATTTTTCTGTATTAATAATTGTATAATTACCCAACACCACTGGCTGAAATGCAGTTCCGAACTATGGCAGAGCCTCCACCATGTTTTATAGATGACTGTAGACGCTCCCTGCTCCAACTCTCTCCTAACTTCCTCCGTACATTTTGATGGTGATTTGAACAAAAACTGTAAATATGGATTCCTCACACCATAAGACCTGTTGCTACTAATTTTCAGTCCAGCTCTTGAGTCATTTTGTCATGTTCACCCTGTTTTCCTTCCTTAAGAAGGCCTTGTTAACAGCCACCAGTCCACTGACACCATTTCTCATGAGGCTTCAGTGATGCTTTGATAGATCAGCTGAGGGATGCATGCCACATGTCCTCTGTCAGGTCTTTGCTGGATTTTTTTCTAGTTCTTAAGGACATACCTTTTAGATACTGTTCATCTGCTGCAGATAGCTTTTTTTTCAGGCCTGCATCTTCTTCTTTCTTTCCCCACTTGAGATGTGCTTTTTTAAAAAGTGTATCTGGGTTAGAGTGGAAATATTTATGCTCGTCTGTGAACTGTGGGATATACAGATCATAATGAAGTATCCACAGAAACTAGGACTGTAGAGTGTCACCGCCCATCTTTCACCAAAGCTTAAAAACCCATTTTTTGGTATATTGTCTTTCCATTGCAGGCATTTACATAATTTTCATCTCACTTTTGAAAGCACTAAACAATCAGAATAACCTTAATAGGGAGGTTTGCAAAACCTATGGCTGATTTTTAGTTTCAATGCATTTAATATAAGTTACTTTGAGCAGAAGCATGCATATATATTTATACTTGTTGCCGTAACTTGCTACCAAAGCAAGTCCATGTTGTAATATTTGTAGAGGTGACATTGCTTCATGGTAACCTTTGAAATGTTTCTCATTCGGGCGACTTCATGACAGTGCTAGATGTGAACAGATCCTTTTCTGTTTCTTTACAGATATCCCCTAGCTTGACCTGACAACAGCTGGAACAACTCAAGTGGACAGAAGATAGTCCCGCTACATAATCCCACCCGGACAACCGAACACTACTCTTAACAACTAACCAGCCAGTTAGCAGACGCATTAAACTTTGACCAGTCAGGGCTTCAGATAAATGGCTGACAAGCAGATCAGGTAAGGTTACAGAGGTTTGGAGCTGTGGCTTTGTTTTTAATCTAGTGACATGACATTTGATATTTTTGTCTTTGTGTTTATGGTTGTTACCTTCATCCAGTTTGCCTGCCAAATTGATCAATGGGGGGATCGCTGGCCTAATCGGAGTGACCTGTGTGTTTCCCATTGACCTGGCCAAGACTCGGCTCCAAAACCAGCAAAATGGATCTCGCCTTTACACCAGCATGTATGACTTTCTTTTCTTTTTCCAGCTTTAATCCACAGTAGCCTTATGTAGAGTCACTCAGCCTCACTCAGTCACTCAGGCAGCTCTTCAACTGACATACCACAACTGTTGTGCTTGTGTTACAGGTCAGATTGCCTTATTAAGACCATTCGGTCAGAGGGATATTTTGGGATGTACAGAGGTAACGTGAAGATTTTTGACTTTGTATGTGATTAATGTGTAAACTCATTTAAATATAAGGTAATCATTTTTCTAACCTGTGTAGGCTTGTGTGCTTGAAGCACCTCCTGTTATGCGCGTATCAAGTCTGTTTGGTGTTCACTTAAACAATGTTTTAATAGTTGATGCTTTTTAGTGTAGTTGGCAGGGACATGGATATCTGCACAGAGCACAGAGCCTCACATTCACCCTCTGATGATGAAATTTATGTCACTCAGACCTAAGTGTATCTTTGCATTCTGCAGATGTGGAAAGTCTAACATGAGATAACATGGGGAGTGGTGGTTTTTCATGTGTCTTTTTTAAGACACAGTTTTAAGAAACATAGATTTCCCTTTATTAGTTTTTACGTAGAAAATATAACAGTGTTTTTTTAGTGCTCCAAGAATATAAATCCCATGTGGCAAAATAAGAACGACACAACAACCAATGACAGTCACACACATGAGTGAATAACAGTCACTCTTACAAAGGACAAAGGGAAACTGAGGCTATAGATACACACATGAGGTAATCAGGGAAGTGGAAACACTAGGGTAACAAGAAACGGATAAAACTAATTAAGACAATAACAAAGGAAGTCAAACCTACAACAAGGCACAAGAGGAAATAACTAAGAAGGGAATCACCTGACAGAGATAAAGACTTAAAAAGTTACAGGAGGATGCTGGGAACGCTAGACTAAACAAGATCAAAATATAAACACTTTTAAATACCAGTGGAAACCAGGTTACAGTAGTAACATGTACTAAAGGCTAAACATACAGCCATTACAATAATCAAGAAAAACCTGGTACACAAAGTTAAACAACAACAAAACTCACAAACTGTAGAGAAAAAAGAGAGTACTTAAATACTTATTTTTTTCTTCTTCTTCTTTGTGTCTTACTTTCCTTCTCTTCTATTTTTATCCTCTCAGGAGCTGCCGTGAACTTAACGCTAGTCACACCGGAGAAAGCCATCAAATTGGCTGCAAACGACTTCTTCAGGCATCACTTCTCCAAGGATGGGTGAGAAATGAAAGTGCTGACAGGCAGATTGACACTTGCCCACTCCTCTAATTCCCACTGTAATTAACTGGCGTGTTTACTAGCATATAACCTGACATGTTAGCTGTCTTTAGTGTCACCAAGGCTCCAGCTAATCCCCCATTTTCTGTCATCTTCTCAGAGGCACCGAGCACTTCACACTGGCTTGTTAACTGTTTGGTTTCTAAATACAGAATTACATGTACGTGTGAAATATAATTGGCACACAGTGGAATCACATTACATACGCCAAAAACCGATCGCTGTGCGCTGCTGAATAAAAAGTACCTGTTATCCACCATGAGCACTGTCTGTGCAGACAACCCTGGAGCTCTCTGGGGCATCCGTCTCCATCGCTATGGAGACAAACATGTAGGCTGATGAATGATTGACTTGTCTGGCCCACCTGCTCGCCTTGTGAATTATTAATCTGCCCTTGTGCTTGACATGTTGATATGGAAGACAACGATTAGCATCACCAGCACTAGTGGTTACAACTCCTTTTTCGAGGACTGTGGAAATGAAGTTGTCTGGCTCTCACACTGTCAGTCTAGTGTCTGCTTTAATCTGATCGCGCTTTTACCTTTTGCTTCTCCAGAAAGATTACTCTGTTCAAAGAGATGTTGGCCGGTTGCGGTGCAGGTACATGCCAGGTGAGTGAGTGAGGCGCTTCTTTAATTGCATCCTCCTGTTCTCCATCTGGAACACCCAGCTTTAACACTGCCAGTGTCAGATCACATCCAAACTACTGGACCTCATTTGTCTCTGCCTACAGCTGGAATTAACCACAGCCACCTTTAAATGAGAAGTGGTAGTCATAAAACATACTTGGGAGTTTCTCACTGCAGATAGTGTTATCTGTGATCTGAATGTGACCTGTAATATTCCTTTTTAGTGAATGATTTCTAATCACTGAGATGCTGTCCCGTTAGCAGGCTATACTCTGGCAGCTAGACGTGAGTGATCAGATAAGACTCTGTGAGAGTGCTCAGCCATGTGCGCTGAGTGAGTGAGTCAGAAGGAAATGCCTGTTGTCAATGAGGCCAAAGGCTTCAAGCCCGAAGAATGTGATTAGATTAAGTGTAGCAGACCTTGGATTAAGATTGCAGCTGAGAACATGACCATCTCACCCTTAATCCAGTTAACTAGTTACTACTGTGTGGATTAGAGAGGAAAACAAGAGTTGGCATTTAACTAATGGATGAAATTAGATTTACACTGCACTTGTTTTGTTCCCCCCTCCACTCTCTGTATTAATCAGTCATTTCAGATTAATTTGTTCACAGTCTGTATATGTTGACAGTTCATGTGAAACCTTTATTTTGCTCTAATTGTAGGTTATTGTCACAACTCCTATGGAGATGTTGAAAATTCAGCTCCAAGATGCTGGGCGGATTGGTAAGAGGAGATCTAATCTAGCAAATACTGCGTTGTTTGTGACATTGTGTAGTAACAGTGGCCTCATGTGGTCACGTCAGAGATGACAACAGTCTTTTTTTCTGTTACAAATCCAAAATGTTTGTTCATGTATACCTGCTCTTAGCATCGAGTGCTTGAACTTTTCTTTTAATGTTCCCTGCAATTTGTAGCTGCTCAAAGGAAGCTGATGCCAGAGACAGTGGCACCAGGTACCGTGGAGACGAAATCCCCGACAGCCATGCAGATAACCAGACAGTTACTGAAGGAAAAGGGCATTGCTGGGCTGTATAAAGGCCTTGGTGCCACGCTGCTCAGGTAAAACAGATTTGGCAACTGTACTTTTGTAGTTTTAGTGAATTTCTCAGAACTTACTGTCGTGGTTTTATTTCTCTGATTTTATAGGGATGTTCCATTCTCTATTATCTATTTCCCCCTTTTCGCCAACTTGAATAACTTTGGAAAAAGAGGCGCAGAGGGCCCTGCTCCTTTCTATGTTTCGTTTATATCAGGCTGCGTTGCGGGAAGCACGGCAGCTGTGGCTGTAAACCCCGTTGATGGTGAGCAGTGGCACTGAGAACACTGTTTCCGCAGTCTTTGCACTGATGTTTGATGTTATACTCACCTGAACTCACTGTGTTGCAGTTATAAAGACTAGACTGCAGTCGCTGACCCGAGGAAACACAGAAGACACGTACGCTGGAGTGACTGACTGCATCAGGTGACCTAATTATGCTTTTACAGCACGTGCAAAGTGCTATGTACAGTCAGCCGCCATGTCTGCCGGTGCTGGATGTGTTTTTGGGTTAATCCAATGTTTTCCTGTTTGTTCCCCAGGAAAATTATGCGTAACGAGGGTCCATCAGCCTTCCTGAAGGGAGCCTACTGTCGAGCCTTGGTTATCGCTCCTCTGTTTGGCATCGCCCAGGTGGTCTACTTCCTGGGCGTGGGTGAATTTATCCTCAGCTTCTTGCCTAAAAAAGACAAATAAGGAGCACCTCCTTTCTGCCTTTCCCTCCCATAATGCATTACACCAACTTCGCGAAGATTCATCCCATACCGAGAGAAGTTTGTGATGGGTCCGAGCGTGACCACTAGTACAGATTGTTTTCAATTTTTTGTGTTGAATGTGTTCAAATCATTCAGGAGGGAGCCTTAGTTAGCCAAGCTGCCTATGGCGGCACAAAAACAAATCCAGTTGGCAGGTTTAGCCAGCTCTCTGGAAATAAAGCCACAAATATCAGCTTGTTTTAAGTTTTAAAAAGAATATCGCTTTATAATTACAACATTGTACTTATCTTTTTGAATATGATTGTTAACGTTTTAAAGCAGATGTACTGCCCTCGGTTGCTGCAGTTCTGCCACCCTACAGTACCAAATTTTAGTCTTTAAGTGACAGATGAAATCTTACCAGTTGGTTTGAAACTATAAATTATAAATGATGATGATCAGATTAAAAATAAATGCACATTCCTTACTTACAAGTAGAAGAACATTAGTCCTGTAAAACAAAAAAAAACAAACAAATCAAAAACACAACCTTCCCTTAACCTTATGTCTTAAAAGGTAACACACAACGAGTTACAGTAACACAGGCCTCTGTTTCAGACAAAGACCGAGGCAACGTGTTGATGTGATACCAGCACAATCGCTATGATCTTTCCATAAGAGCCACATCCCTTCCTGTAAGTGGTTGTAATGAACCCAGCCATTCAGCTCTGAGCACACTTTGATTGCCATGGCTTTTTAAGTAGATCAGGTTCCATCTGATGCGTTGCACTACCACAATGGTTCAACTGTTGCCCCCCCTCCACTACGACTATAGCTTTGTTTCGTGGATGCACACTGGACTGAAGCACCAGTGTGAGAATCGGTGCTCAACTACAAACTACATGCATAAACTTTGTTTGAACTTTGACGGAATCACAAAACAGCTGCGCCCTCACGCCTTTTTATGGGTCAAGCGCATCGCACTCCTGCCCACACCCCAATCACTGATGTCACAGCGGGGGTTTAGTTAGCCTTTGTCAGGCGACCGAAAACACCTGCTGTGACATCACTGATTGGATTGCGACCTAAAGTGCTGCTTGCTGCACTTTAGGTCACGTGATGCACGGTGGATTCAGACGGACAGCATAGCTGTGAACACTAAATGAGCTGAAAGTAATTCTAATGGAAAGCTAACAATCGGTCAGAACTCACCTCCTGAGATTTATGAATACAGTCATCCATTGTGGAGCCAGTAAGTCCAGAGCATTTCATCCTCACATCAGATGCAGACCAAATTATTTTTGTTTACAGATGAGTTCATATTCAGTTTGAATTCTTTATCCAAACTTGAATTCAATGGCAGGACCCAAAGAGCTAAAAATCCTTTGGATATCAGAAAATCACACCAATGCGTTCTCAGTGCACTCGATGATTTTGTTTTTAACCAAACATCTGTTTATTTGCTTTAGAGGGTTTTGTTTGCTTTAAGCTGCGAGGGAAAGCAGCCCTGTTGTATCTTGTTTATGCATCATGACACTGAAGCGCTGCCATTGGTTTATCTCACCGGAGATCAAGGTGACTTTGAAGTGTATTATTCCAATCACATTCCCTCCTTGCTCCCACCGTTCAAGCAGCTCGTCAACTGCACTGTTGCACTGTAGATACACGATGCAACTTTTCAGTGTATTTAATTTGTGGGAGTGAGCTTTATTTATCGATATTCCTTTCTGTGGGCAGTATAGCACTATGTATTTGTGTGTTGTTTTTCTTTTCCTGTGTCAAAGTGTCCACCTTAACTATATTGTAAACATGCAGATGATATGAACTTGACGTTTTAGGATTTATTGTTTGTTTTGTAAATGATGGCTTTTTTGCACACCTACCTCTCCAGCTCCCCTGTCAATTCATGTTGTGGTGATTTTTATGTTTTATGATGATGTGGACATATCGAATGAAGGAATATTAACGCCGGACACATCATATGAACTTAAATGCAACATTTTAATGAGATTTTTTTCTTAAATGTTTGCAGTGGGGAACACTAGTGTAGTTTTTTTCTTTTTTCTTTTTTTTTT